CTGTAAATTGTGTCGGCAAGGCCGCTGATCTGGGTTGCAAGCGTTGTTTTCGAGCTCCGCTCTTTTCTTGTTGGCTCACTATCGTTCCGCTTATTACTTATCTAATGATATCTGGTCTGCCGCCTAAACTCGCTCCAAACTTCAAGTTACAGCAAAGGACTGTGTCGCTTCCATTCAATATCCATAGCCACTCATAAGCGTGATATCTACGAGACTACGACTTCTGGCTTAGTGCCATTTGGCACAGTATACAGCTTCCATCCAGCTACGGCTTTGAAGGCTGTGTCGTTACCAAGCTCCTGAGACGTAGTTTGCCGACTTTGCCATTGCTATGTTAGTGAAACAAAATGTAAGCATGCACGATCATCATCTTTTGGGCGACCAACGTGGTGAGCGGCATTACATCGTGATAGATGCCAGGATGAGGCCCCCATGCTCGTCCGCCAGTTCAGTGTCATGCTGTCTCATGCGATTGGGCCACCAGGCCGTTCATCACCCCATCGTCGTCCCCCTCTCGAACCTCGTCCGACTGTCTGAGTGCAACTCCGGCGCCACCGCCATCACATAGTCGAATATTGCACTGCCTGGACATTTTCTCACACGGGAACAATAATCAGTTACCGAGGGCCGGGAGCATCAAAGGGGGACGGTGTTGGAGCACGACAATCCGTGCGTCGTCCGCCGCGCTCCGGGACCGGTTGCGCGCCATACCCGTGTGTTTCTTATTTTTAGTTCACGCTGTTCCGCCTTCCCGCGCCGCACCTTACTGCGTCGGCGCGGCGCTCTTTCTGATTCGCCCCGACGCTCACGCTGTCAGTATCATATCCATCATTACCCGTTACGGTAGCGCGTACGTACCTTACTGTACCTAGCCCCTAACGGACTGTAGCTATTTTACCTGAGTGCCTGCATCTTGACCCTCAGTCTTTGCTCTCCCGAGCGTGCACTGAGGACTGTACTACGTTACAGATCTACGCTCGTGCCTCCCCCTGTTGTTGCTACAGACGGAAGCACAAGAAATACAGTTTTCAGCATCCTTCTGGCCGGGGAATTCGTGCTCCACAAGTAAATACTCCCCAAACTCTGTGTAGGGACTACGTAACGAGGACACTCTCCACGATCCACCATGGCATTCGCGTTCAGCTACCAGCCTCTGAAGGGCCTCTACATGCTGGGCAGCATCCTCGTCCTGCTCTTCATCCGCCTTCCTGTTTGGACAATCCTCGGCCTCGTCCCGTCGTGGCGCCCCCTCCCCACATGGTCGCTCGGACGTTCCCTCATCGTCCAGGCATTCCAGGCATATGTCGCCATCCTTTACAACACCGCAATCGACACTCCTTCACGTCCTCCCGAGAACGCTCCCGACGCGGTCAAATCCGGGCTGGTCTGGGTTGACCCCACTCCGGACCTCATCGTGGGCGAGGTCCGCGACTTTGCAAACACCAATCATGTCCAGGCTGAGAAGGTTCCTGGCTACTGGCATGGTCCCAGAGCGTCGGATGGCACTGTCGGTCAGCGTGCCTCGCCTGGCGAGAAGGTCGTCTATCACTTCCACGGTATGTCGTGATGCCCGTCTAGTGCCGTCGTGCCTGACGTATCTTCTTCATTCGTCCGTGTCTCTCTAGGTGGTGCCTTCATCGTACGTGTGGCTAGTGTGAATGTCCGGCGATGGTAACTGACCTACTTACTGCCCGCCCTGCTAGATGGGATCTGCGTCGCCATCAGACCCCGGCTCAAAGACATGCTTCACTGGCTACATGGAGCACTTCCCCAACAACCCGCGCGTCTTCGGGCTCGAGTATCGTCTGACGCGGGGACATCCGCTCGGGAGGGCAAATCCGTTCCCTTCTGCCCTCATCGACGCTATCGCCGGCTACCGCTATCTGGTGCAGGACGTCGGGTTCGAGCCGCAGAATATTCTGCTGAGCGGTGATTCCGCGGGCGGGAACCTTGCGTTTGTGCTCGCGTACTACCTCGCGACATACAAGCTACCGAATCTACCGAATGCAGGTGGATTGCTGATCTTGTCACCCACGGTGGACTGGGCGAACACCCACAAGGGCGCGCAGTCGTCGATGGTGCGACACTCGCGCACAGACTATGTTGGGCCGATCCTCAACTCGGGGTACACGAGGGATGCGTTGGTGGGTGACTTGCCCGCGGAGGCGGCGTCGAGCGTTTGGATCTCGCCTGCGTCGCTGAAGATGAAGGTGTCGACGGGAATGTTCTCGCAGATTCCGCGTACATGCATTGTGGTTGGCGGAGAGGAGATGACGCTGGATCCTGTGGTGACGCTGCGGGACCGGCTGCAAGCGGACATGGG